TGAGACGTATGAGAGCAGCACGTATCTTCAGCAACAAGTGACGTTCTACAGGGAGCCTTTGCAGCCGGACCAGATTGTGGCGTACGCACTGTACAGGTGGGCTTCAGGTGAGACGTATGAGAGCAGCACGTGCAACTTCGGGATCGGACGAGCTTCTGGGCTGATTGCCATCCACGACGTGATTGCCGCGCTGCTGAGGGTGTTCGACGATAAGATAGTGTGGCCGACGGGAGTTCGTAAACAAGTCGTTCTTCGGGCGTTCGCTGATAAAGGCTTCCCCAACTGCCACGGTTGCATTGATTGCACTCACATCTACATCGACAAGCCAGCGAATGCTCGGAGCGAAAAATACTTCGACAGGAAGCGTCGTTTCTCCATCGTTGCGCAGGTCGTTGTCGACTTGGACTTGCGTGTGTTGGACGTGCACATGGGATACCCCGGTAGCTGCCACGACATCAGGGTGCTGCAGTTGTCCAGCCTGTCGCTGCGCGTGGAGGAGGGGTCGTTGTTCCGCGGGCCCCCCGTCACACTGTCGTTCGGTGTGAAGACGAACGGTTACCTTCTTGCGGACAATGGGTACCCCCCTGCCGAATGGATGGTCGTCCCGTACGGCAGTACCAATCAGATCGTCAAGCAGGAGCAGTTTGACAACAAGCAGAAAGTGGCAAGGGGAGCGGTGGAGAGGGCGTTCGGCAGGCTGAAGGGCATGTGGCGGCTGTTTCTCCGAACACACAAGACAAACCTTGAGACGCTCCCGCAGCAGTTCACCGCCGTCTGCATACTTCACAACTTACAGATCGAGGCGGGGATCCCCTTCGATGAGAATCTGCTGTGGGAGGTCGACGGTAATGGTGTGCGACGACGAGTGGACCTGGGAATCGACGAGCCCCTCCAGCCTGTGTCCATGTTGACGTCGACCCACGAAGCCTTAGCCCTGAGGCATGCTTTGGCGGAACGAATGAAACATGAATAAGTCGTGTATCATTCATGGACGACAGCACATGAAGATGGCTTAATTGCAACAATGGGCGGACACCTAATTGGTCTTTTCGTCCTCCCTTGATTGGGTCGCTGTCGTTTGTACCTCGACGGGGTTGGTGGTTTCTCTGGAGGGTCGTTACTCGGATGGTGGAAGGCAGCGCGTGGAAGTGCGATCTTGGTGCAATGGCCGGAGGGCAGAATCGCGGTCTCGTCGGCCGTCGGCTTGGTTGCTAGCACTGTTAGGCGTCGTGGTCGGCGGTTTGCGTCGACGATTGTGTTTGGTTAGCCTTCGCAATACACGGATGTGCGTCGCGTTCCTTTTTCTTTTTTATGTTCAATTTTTTTTTTTTTTTTTTTTATGTCGTTCATGAGGAGTAGTGCGGAACATGCTCATTGCGGTTGTGAGGTGCGCCTTTTTTGAGAAGAGTTAGCGCATTTAGAGGTTAGAGGTATGGTGCTCATTCGGGTGGGCATGAAACTTTCCCCCCATCTCAGTTTCGAAAAAGAGTTTTGTAGTGCTGTGATTTCTTCTGCGACGTTGGAAGTACTTTTGATAGTCGTTTTCGGCCATTTCCATTGTGTGTTCTCATTCGGTGTGCGCCTGTTTCATTGCGTGCATGTCGTGCGTTGGCATTTGTGATTCGTTTGATTTTCAGCGGCCAAGTATTCCCTGGACTGATGAGTGCAACACGAACACATGGACTGTATGCCACTGGGATGATTCTGGAATGCGAACACACAAAAAAAAACAAAAAAAAACAAAAGGAAACAAAAACAAACGTCTTCGAAGCGACGATCGAGAATGGCACCTGCAAATGAAGAAGAGATGTGTGAATGTGCATCGAGCACTGCATGGACCGTCGGGTTAGGAAAGAGAGCAATCACACACTGCAAACATACGAAACATCCGTCCCGAATCGAAGACGTGAAGAAAACAAGGTGCGCTTCCAGCGCGTTATGAATATACATGACGCATGCTGCGCCGACAAGGAAACGTGAAACAACATCGCGGAAACCTAACTTTAATCCGCTACTACAATCTACTGCAGACAACGCCGCGCACCGTCGCATGAACACTGCGAACTGCCAAACTAAATGAACAAGCAAGGACACCGACGAGCGAAGTTGCATCTACCACCCTGCCAGAGTGGACAGCCGAAAACGGAGGGCGTCTACACGCACGACAGACACGTTGTGCTTGTGCGGAGCAAAGGGAGAGACCAACAACAATCTGTGTCGCGACGCGCTGCCACCTTTCCCGTCGTCCACGTGCCATCACAAGCGACAAGCAAACCAAGGCAATCTAGCACAACACCATCCCTCCACCCCCTACGCGTCGTTTTCGCCATTGTCGTCACCGTCCTCCTCCAAGGGGCCCGAACCCAACCAATCCCTCTTCTTCGCGTCCTTTGGCCCCGTGATGCTCGAGTCGTGGCCGAACGTGATGCCGCAGGAAGCCCAATCGGGGATGTACTTCGGGTACTCTCCAAAGGTGGCGTTCGCCTTCCCCAGTCTCTCCGTGACGACGTTCGTCGCTCGGATGACGGACCTTCGATGATCGAAGGCGCGATGCATGGATGCGATCAGCGTGGGCTCGCGACCAGCTGCGCGAAGTAGAAGGCTTCGTAGTGGCTACAATGATCGTCTTCCGCCATGCGCATCAACCACATGCAGGCAGCCAACAACAGCCTGAAGCAATCCGCGATCCTCGACAGACGATCGTGCGATATGAACCCGCCGTCGACGTTGGCACCCATTTGCACGGCGGCGCGAAATGCATGCGCGACGCACAGGACAGTCGACTCCTGGTACGCAGCCATGTCGTCCTCCTCCGGCCTGTCGTTGATGTTCACCCCCGCAAACCACAGTGGCAAGTCCATATTGAGGTCGATCGTGTGCGCGCAAACGGTCACGCTCACCACATTGCTCCACTCCTCGCCGTACCACATAACGCGCGCAAGGTCGGTTACCACCGACTCCAACGCGTACTGGAAAGCGAGATTGTATCCGCGGGGGCGGTTCCCTGACTTGAACACCCACCCATGCAAGACGCGCAGAACTATGTTCTCTGCAGCCCCCCCCCGGATGATCGCTTGCTGTAGTTGAGCGGGATCAGCAATCCTCGTGAGGCTCGTCGTGGATTTCGGCATGACGACGCTCCTGGACACGACGGGCGCTTGCACCCCGCTGGCGATGGCCTCGAAGTGCTCCCGCGTTCGGTGGACGATGTCGTAGAGCCGGCGCCCCTCCCCCGTTGTCCAGAACGGTTTGTCGTCGACCCACAGGCGGGCACGGTCAGCAAGATCTCTCGGCAACCCTCCCCTCACTCCCGGCTTAAAAGGGGGTCGTCGTCCTCTCTTTCACCCTTATTCTCGCCGCGCGCAACCTCCCGCTCCACAACAGGAACCTCCTCTCTCGCCCCCGCCACGACAGCGACATTGCCCGAGGACCCCGCGCCTGCACCAGCGCTCGCCACGCGCGCTTCTTGCTGGGCCACCTCACCTCCCCCGCGTTCGGAAGACCCTCCATCTGCAGCCGAGTTGCGCGGTCGCGGCTGTGACGGCGTGGACGGCATGGCGCCTTGAGGTGGCCTTTCTTCATGCGTGGCGCATATACTTACTCCCGTCGCCGTCGCACCTTGCATTGCATTTCGCTGCCTGCGGCTTTCCAATGGCTCATTGTCCTCGTCGCTAACATCAACAACAACCTTCTTAGCTTTCGTGTTCCTCTGCCCACGACCTTGTTGCCCCTCCGGGGGGGGCATGAGCAATCTCCTCGCCGCGGCCTGATCATTCTTCGCTTGAAGAGTGCTGCCCCGGGGTGCTGCCACGGTGTCATCTGCTGCTTCCTCCTCTGTCATGAACACGTCGTCATCTTCGTCTTCGTTCGATGCCGCCCAATACCGCCCTCGCAGGACAGGCACGCTTGGTGATGGCTCTTCTGAACGGAGCCTCTTCGACTTGGGGACATGCCGCCGACCCACTGCCCGCCCCTGGGTGTCAGCAGGGACGTTCTCCCGCTTCTTGCCACGGCCGACGCCTCGCGTAGACATGATTCTCGTGCACTAGTGTCGCAGTGGTTGGCGAGAGCGCTCCGCGGCGAGAACAAGATCATCGGTGGTGAATGACGCCGCGCCTCCGAACGACGTAGAGTTGTCCGCGACGATAAGGACAGTCTGCTCCGCGTGGACGTCCTTGTGCTTGCCAGACGATCGTTGGGCGCGATCGACGATGACAGTACAGAAGTCCCACTCGTGGAGCGCGAAGACAGGGGCGACCATGTGATGGCTGCGCGGTGCATTGAGGACATAAGGCAGGTGGCGTCCCGCGCGGATTTCGTCGCTGGTCACCGTGTGCACCGACGTCCAGTACTGGATATGCCGCAAGGAAAGCTTTATGCTGGAGCAGGCGCAGGCCCGCCAGAAACATGGAGCAGCTGGAACGGCCCCGAGCATGATTCTTCACCTGTCGTCGTTGTCGACAGCGACACGTGTGACAGCAACTCACCAGACCTCCTGCACGCGCACGCCCTTCAGCTTTTGCGACGCCCACCGTCCCCGCCGCGCGTACAGACCCTTCCGCGCTTGCACGGGTGCGCGTCCATACAACACCAGGGGCCGATGTGAATTTCCTCCAGAGCACCGCCCCCACCAACAACCCCCCCCCCCCCCCCCCCCCCC